TAGAATAGAATAGAATAGAATAGAATAGAATAGAATAGAATAGAATAACAAAGTTGGAAGGGACCTTGGAGGTCTTCTAGTCCAACCCCCTGCTCAGGCATGGAATTCCTATGCCATTTCGTAGCCCTTTGCTTCTTGTCTGAAAAGTTAAATCTTTAGAGCAATATAAAAACCATCGATGTTGCTGCATTAGAACAGGCTTCTGGCTTCTAAGGGAATTTCTCCTTCTTGTTCCAAGACATGGCTAATATAGATGAATAATTGGAGAGTGACGTACACATTATGTTTAATGTACACATTAATGTACGGTTAGAAGAGCTGCTTAGATTCCCTAAGGAGAAAAAAAAGACATGTTTTATTTCATACCAGCCAGAAAATTAATATCCATTAATTTCCCCACCATATGAAAGTGCTCTGTGGACACCATTTATATTGTCGACAGCTAGATTTATAGACTTCTTTTTCCTTAAGCGTTCACAGCTGTGGGGCAGATTTTTCTCATTTTCTCTCTGCTTGGAGACGGGCGTATTTCTGTGTTGGCGTTGGGTGTGTTGCGAGGGGCATCTGGCTTTTCACTGTGGCTTCATCCCAACGAGTGAAATTTCCAAAGCAATGAAATATTCATACTTGAAAGCTGGGGGCACGTAGGCCCAGGTTGGAAGCAGACCAGGCAGAAATTCAAGATAGAGATTTCAATTTGGCGGGCGAGGAAGCAAGACAGTGAAGGAGACCAGCCCCTTTCCCCACTCAAAATGGAGAGGCCATAAGGGGCAAAGTTGTCTGCCCTACAGTACACAGGAATATACATATAAGCCAATGGTGGTATGCTACCGGTTCAGACTGGTTTGGCTGAACCGGTAGTAAACAAAGCCTCCAGAGATCAGCTGAGATCAGCTTTGCCTGGGCAAGGCTGAGCCATCTTTTTGTGGGGCGAAAGTGCTTAGCGTTTTCCTAAGAGATGCAATGCAAAATTAAAGCATAATTCATAAAAAAACATAAAAAAATAAATACAAAGACAAATAGGCTGGAAAAACAGCTTCTATCCCAGAGCAGTAACTATACTGAATTCTACTGTATAATGCAATATGAATGCAAAGTCAGGGGTTTTCAATTCAGTTGTTATAGAATGCGAAGGATGTGTGTTTGTGTTTTATTTTTTATAGTTATAATGGAATGGAATGGAATGGAATGGAATGCAATGGAATGCAATGCAATGCAATGGAATGGAATAGAATAGAATAGAATAGAATAGAATAGAATAGAATAGAATAGAATAGAATAGAATAGAATAGAATAGAATAGGAATCTTTTATTGGCCAAGTGTGATTGGACACACAAGGAATTTGTCTTGGTGCAAATGCTCTCAGTGTACATAAAAGAAAAGATACATTCATGAAGAGTCAAGAATCATAAGGTACAACACTTAATGATAGTCAAAGAGTCAAGAATCATCAGGTACAACAGTCATAGGGTAGAATAAGCAATCAAATCATATTAGGAAACAGTCAATATAAATCGTAAGGATACAAGCGACAAAGTTTCGGTCATACAGTCACAAGTGGGAGGGGATGGGTGATAAGAAGTGATGAGAAGATTAACAGTAATAGTAGTGCAGACTTTGTAAATAGTTGGAATTATTTGTTTAGCAGAGTGATGGTGTTCAGGGAAAAACTGTCCTTGTGTCTAGTTGTTCGGGTGTGCAATGCCCTACAGCATCGTTTTGAGGGTAGAAGTTGAAACCATTTATGTCCAGGATGCAGCCTAGTATTGTATTCAGCTTTTTTGCCACCACAGTACAATGCTGACTGCCATCCATTGACCCACTGCAAACAACAACAACAACAACAACAATCATATGGGTTGGGTGATGTTTAAAAGCTTGTAAATTGTGGTATATTGGCGCAGCTCATCCGATTCCTGTAAACCGTAGTTAGCGATGGACTCTAACCAACATTTGAGCGGGCTGAGGTAAATATTCTCAGATAGTTGTGTTACTCTTGAGTGTGGGCTGCTGTCCGGCTGTCCACTTCTGTCTTCACCCAAACAAAACGAGATAATTTTGTTTGTTTCCTGGGATTTCTCGCAGGTTATTCTAATCCGGATTTCGACTGGGCGGATTACCAGAAGCAGTGCGGAGCGGAGGCAGCTCCTGAGGGCTTCTTCAAAAATGTAAGTTCTGGTTTTTCTTTTCACTGCATTGGGATCTTTCTTGTCCTGTGCCCATTGCCATTAATGGTCCTTCACCCTCATTGTATGTATTCTACAAAATCACTTTTGTAGAAAGTTAAGGTCAAAGAGGCTGGGATCACAACACTCCTTCCTTCCTGCCTTCCTGCCTGCTTTCTTTCTTTCTTTCTTTCTTTCTTTCTTTCTTTCTTTCTTTCTTTCTTTCTTTCTTTCTTTCTTTCTTTCTTTCTTTCTTTCTTTCTTTCTTCCTTCCTTCCTTCCTTCCTTCCTTCCTTCCTTCCTTCCCTCCCTCCCTCCCTCCCTCCCTCCCTCTCCTGTTTCTCCTCTTCCTTCCTCTTCCCTTTCCTATTTCCTTCCGTCTTCCTCCCCTGTTTCTCCTCTTCCTTCCTCCTCCTCCTATTTCCTTCCTTCCTCCATTTCTCCCCTTTCTTCCTCCTCCTTCCCCTATTTCCTCCCTCCCTCTATTTCTCCTTTCTTCCTCCTCTTTCCCCTACTGTATTTCCTCCCTCCCTCCCTCCTTCCTCTTATTTCTCCCCTTCCTTCGTCCTCCCTCCCCTAATTCCTCCCTCCCTCCTTTCCTTCCTCTTTTCAGAATCAGAATAGGAGAAGCCCACAAGGAAACATGTGCAGAGGAAGATACATCTAGATCATCAGCAGCCCAAAGTAATTAGAACAAGCATTAAAACTGGCATTTCATCTGCAGCCCCAACACAGCAGCTGAAGTCCCCAACTCTTGAGGGAGGGGTGGATTAGGGATTTTAAGAAGCAAAAAAGGTCCTTCACCCTCTTTTCCAGCTTATGTAGCAGCTCCCTGCCTACTGTATATCCCAGGGGATCCTCAAACTTTTTAAGACTTGTGGGCTTCAACTTCCAGAATTCCTCAGCCAGCATAGCTGGCTGGAGAATTCTGCGAGTTGACGTCCACAAGTCTTAAAGTTGCCAAGTTTGGAGACCTCTGTTCTGTATCGAGGTTATAGTATGAGTGATGAGTGGATTTTTTTCAGGGTTAGACGTCCCGGTTTGGCGAACTGAGCTGGCAGGGAAATGAAAGAGAAGAGAGTGGACAACCGTTTGTTCAGAATGGCATAAAATTTCCTGCCTGAGCCGGAGATCGCCCAGCTGCCTTCCAACTGTGTCATTCAATGTTCTGTTTTCTGTGTTTTCTGTTGATGCCATTCAGGCTTCCTGTAGTCGAGCTTTTATGAAAAACATGATGCTGGAAGCAGCGAACCCCCAGAATCCGGCTGAGATCTGCATGGCGTCTGTTAATTCCGTAAAAGGCCGGCTAATGTGGCTCTCTTTTGAAGGTACATTAGAAGACGGCCTGCAGGGGAAATCCTGCCCTGCTTGATTCCTGCTGAATTCCCGAAGCTTTCTTTCTGTCTTCCTTTCTTTCTGCCTTCCTTCCTTCCTTCCTTCTTTCCTTCCTTCTTTCCTTCCTTTCTTTCTTTCTTTCTTTCTTTCTTTCTTTCTTTCTTTCTTTCTT